TTATATTGTATATATATATATATATATATATATATATAAATGAAAACAGAACATGTAAAAATAAAAACTTTCAAAATATTAATAAAAACTATAATAGCATCTCAACGACACTAAAATAACACTGACTTTGTACTAAAATAACTAAAACTGAATGAAAAATTGATATAAATTATATATATATTTATAAAAAATTTAAAATAATAAAAATGTCAAAAGCAACAAAATTAGTAAAACCTTAACTAAAATTGAATTACAACTGGTTCAATGAAACTGAGATTTTATTAGACTTATATATGTCTGTAAACACATTTTATAAAAAAATAATGAAAACAATTAAAAATGACAAACACAACAAAATTAGTACAACTAACTAAAATTAAAATGAGAACAGAAAATATAAAAATTAAATAATTCAATATTAATACAAAATATAATAGTATATCAATGATACTAAAATAACACTGATATGAACCATGATCATTTACTGCTTCCCTAATACAGCCCCTGAATTAAAAAATCAAAATCAAACTGTTTTATAATTTATAACTTCATTCAACATTACAAATGGTTCAATGAAGTTCAGATTTTATTAAAAAAAAAAAAAATACAGAGCACTCAGTAACATTTTATTTAAGGAAGAAAAAAAGACACACACCTTGTTTGATGCTTTTGGTGGAGAATCATCAGCCTCATTGATTTTCGCTTCAATTTCTCCCAAAACATCCATTTTATTATGAAACAAAGCCCTGAAAGAATATATACGAGAATGAAACCTGTACATTACGTCACAGTAATAATAATAATAATAATCTTTATTTATATATCGTGCCTTCTCAAACCGCTTACACAGAAAAATATAAGAAAAACAATACAGCATATGAACATATGTATCAAAATACGTAAGTACATATGTGACCCTGGAGCTCAAAAGCAGTGTTAAGTCGCTGGGGTATATTTGTAGCAATAGCCAAAAATACATTGTATGGGTCAAAATTATACATTTTTCTTTTATGCCAAAAATCATTAGGATATTAAGTAAAGATCATGTTCCATGAAGATGTTTTGTAAATTTCCTACCGTAAATATATCAAAATTTAATTTTTGATTAGTAATATGCATTGCTAAGAACTTCATTTGAACAACTTTAAAGATGATTTTCTCAATATTTAGATTTTTTTGCACCCTCAGATTCCAGATTTTCAAATAGTTGTATCTCGGCCAAAATATTGTCCTATCCTAACAAACCATACATCAATGGAAAGCTTATTTATTCAGCTTTCAGATGATGCATAAATCTCAATTTCGAAAAATTTACCCTTATGACTGGTTTTGTGGTCCATATGAAAAGCATCTTGTGAAAAGCAAACAAGTCTTACTTGATTTTCTCCGTCAGTTGCTCTGTGTTTTCACGGATGGCGAGAGACAGTTGGGACACTGGATTCAGCATCATATTGTTCAGTGTAAGCTGACAGAAGAAGAATGAGATGTACAGCTCAAATACAGAGTTAAAACTCCTGATGTTAAACTGAAGAGAAGCTCTGCTACCTCGTCTGGTCTCATGCTCTGTCGATTACTAACGATCTGCTCGGACTCGTCAGCCGGCGCCGCAGCAGGATATTCCTTCTGGAAATTCAGACTGGCTTCGGGAATCTGGTGCCGCAACTGAAAGAGCATGAAAACAACAGCGTACTTAATATTCAGCAGCACAACTGTTTCAGAAATGTTTCTTGAGCAGCAAATCAGCATGTTAGAATGATTTCTGAAGGATCATGTGACACTTGCTAGGTTTCCATCCACCTATTTTTATGCGCATTTTGGATTATCGCATAAAAAACCGCTGGATGGAAACGCCAAGATGCACATAAATTCTAAAAATGAGCATAAAAAATCTTATGCGCACAACTGAGTCGGATAAACTTTTTATCCGATAAGAAAAAATGCACATGAACTACGATGGAAACACATTTACCGATTAATTCCTCCATGTGCAGTTAAAAAGTCACGTGAGTTTGCGCTACGAGACGGGATAACTTGACAAACCAGCGGACCGATCTCTTCACAGCGTCTATATGTTGTTTTGGTCGTTCTGAAATGCCTGAGCAAAGTCTGTCATCAAAGTATTTCTGTATAATTACTGTCTTACACGACTGCGCTCCCAAACAGCAGCATCCGCCTCTAAAAGCAATGACCGCATTTATTGTGTTACGTCTGCGCTCTCTGAAGCGCAAGTCATTTATTCTATATGAAAATGATTATATTCAGTGGATTCTCCTAATTTTCTTAGAGATATTTAGTGGCAGTTTATCAGGAAGTGACGATTTTGTTCTCTTTGACTCGTTGGATGGAAACGGTGCTTTATTCGCAAATGTTTTATGCGATATTCCAGTTTTGCACATAAATTAAATTAGCATATTTGGATGGAAACATAGCTACTGAAGACTGGAGTAATGATGCTGAAAATTCAGCTTTGATCACAGGAATAAATTACAGTTTAACAGAAATTCACATAGAAAACAGCTATTTTGAATAGTAATAATATTTCAGTTTTTACTGTATCTTTGATCAAATAAATGCTGCCCTGTTGAACGTAGAAACATTATGAACGGTACCTCTTCATGGGTAGATATGGCTGGTCCCGTCTTGTCTGTTGAAGCACTCTGAGCTTCTGTGTCTCCAGCAACATCATGAATCTCTTGGGCCAGAATAGCCAAATCTTTGGCCAAGTCTTGACTCAATCTAACAAAGAATATGCATTAAAAAAAAAAAGACAATGCATTACAAGTAACAAGTAATCTTTTTTTTTTAATTGAGTAAAGTAACGCAATCCTGCTTGAATTAAAACCATAAGAACCACAAGAATCATAAGAAGAAGTTACTTTTGCAATTATGTAACTTATTTACTGAGAAACAGAACTGGAAGCTTCTCCTTTCTGCATGATTATTATACCTAGTGCTATAGCTCTGGAAGAGAGAGTCTGAGCTAGCTGAACGAGATTTGAAGTAAATCGAAATGTGGTTAAAAGTAACATTCGCCAACTATTATTTAAATAAAATTGGAATAAAATGGATTGCTGATTTTATAAGTGTGTCATTCTGGTATAGGCCTGAAATGATTAGTCGACAAATATATTTTGGTCTCTTATGACCTAATGTAAGGGCCTGCAGTAACACGGTTTGACCAGGGTGGCGCTGTAGCGCAACACTAATTCAGCCCTCCCAGATGCAAATATAACAGAAGAAGACAGAGTTTTACAAAACTACAAACAAAAAATGCTGCCATGTGTAAAGACCCCAATATACTCACGGCGAAGTTCATTTTCGCTCTTCGCTTAGGGGTAAAAAGAAGTTTGAAATACCCAAGCAGCAGTCTACTGTTAGCGAACATCCCGACGCTGCTCTGAGTGATGTTTAGATGAATGTGTAAATATGTGCTGCGCGCTTTCCTCTCAATAACGAAATAAACACAGCAAAAATGACAGCGGTGAGAAAACAGCAGTTAAGAAAGCATCTGATAATAGCAATGTGGATAAGTTTGCACCAACTCTGCAATTCTCAGTCACGTCACGTCAATTTACATAGCACTTACAATAGAATACAACAGATCGCTACATTCAGCTTTATAGTATTAAACATAAAAAAACGGTATCAGTGTCACTTTCAATTAAAATTAATTGACATTCTGTTATTAAGCAGCTCTCCAGTGTGGAGCTAGCTAATGTTAAATATTATTAGTGAATGTAAAAAAAACCAAAATATATTATTACATTACAGTGATAGTTTGGTTTGCACTGATTACAGCTTGATCCAGCTCAGGACTGTTTTGAGTATCATAACACTATAAGGTATTTTAAAAGAGATAATGCCGTTGAATAAAAAAAAATAAAAAAAAAGTTTATCCGAAAATAAAACGCCTTATTACCTTAATTTTAATTACATCTTATTAATTACCTTAACAAAAGGAAATGTTAGGCAGAATGATGCATCAGTCATTTAATTTTTCATATATCTAACTAAATGGTGAATGAGAATGTCTCTCTGTCTGTCATCTTATTTTGTGTGCCAAATATAATTATTTATATTGCAAAAAAAAAAAGTTGTAATTGTAATAGTAATACAATTGTAATAGTAATATAACTGTTTGACATTTTCAAAAGCTGAAGTGATTACCTTGTTTTATGTATTAGTTAGAATATGTATAACTCAATATTTGAACTAAATGTAAAAGCTCATTGATCAAAGCCTACCAATTAATCGCCGAAATAATTGCAGAGAAGTCGATTCATCGTCAAAATAATAATCAATTAATGGTTGAAACAATCGGCGATTAGTCAATTAATCGTAAAAATCTGTGTCGATAAGTGGTTGGAACAGTCGATTAAGCGTTGAAATAATCGCCAATTAATCATTGAAACAACCGTCGTTTAATCAATTAATCGTTTAAACAATCGTCTATAAGTCATTGGAACAATAGCTGATTAGTCGATTAACCGCCAAAAATAATCAGCAATTAATCGTTGAACCAATCGTCGATCAGTCAATTAATCATTGAAACAATTGCCGATTAGACGATTAACCGTTGGGACAATCGTCAATTAGCCGTTCTAGTAATCATTCGATTAATCGATTATCTAAATAATCGGTTGTTGCAGTCCTATCCTGGTGTTTCCCCACCTGGCGATCTCAGCGCTATGAGATGTCCAGTTCTGGAAGGCGTCGCTCTCGTGTCCTTCCCCCTCGGAGTCTCTCGAGCGGGGCACGGCTCGCACCGGACCTGCCGGATGGATTCTGGGGTTCTGCTGGGATCCTGAATGATGGGAGCGTTTGTGTTTAGGGGTGCTATGGTTTGACTCATACTCATCCTCCGAGGTGGAGGCGTAGTCTGAACCCTTCTGACGCCTCCTGGAGCCTTGGCCCAGGAAATTGGGAATGAGGAGTGTTTGGTACACCATGCCATCAGAGGATGGGAGAGAAACCAAAATTTAAAAAAAAAGCAAGAGGAGAAAGAGACGGAGAGATGTGAGAAGACACCCGAAAAACCAAAAACCACTTCCCATTCATCAATGGGGTTCAACTGCCCAAAAGAACTGTTAATCACGTTGCTATAAATTACCTTGATTTTCACAATATGCCTGTTAAGTTTTTAGTATGGTAATCTGGTTATCTGCAAATTCAAACATTAGTAAAATTGGAGACTAATTACATGGTCTTGTTAGTTGAAGATGGTCATTGGCCCAGTTGTTGCTTAACAAACAAATGCACACAAATCAAGTCAATGACCGCTGGAAGAGTCATTCAGAGACAGTGAAAGAACTTGATTTTAGATCAGAAACGTCTTGTACTTTTGTTGTTTTGGAAGCTCATCACTCTGATAAATGGATGCAAAACCAAAATAGCCATCTTGGAAACGTTTGCCTAACATTTGACCAACCTTCCGCAAATCTTACAATGAAACAAGCGAACAGAAAACCCTTTCGGCAGCATGATACTCACTGGCAGTGCTACTGGCGTATTTGGCACTGCTTGAGCGTCCGCGGATGATCGGCTGTCTGTTCATGGCATTGGAAACCTTCCGCAGAAGAGCCTTGGGATCCAGCACTGAAGCTTTCCGCACAGAGTTGCCTGACTCGGTGCTGTGGTTTGAAAAGCCTGTCCGGCTCATGGAAGACTCTGTATCACTGGGTGTGTTAAAGGAGCCCGTCCTTTTCCTGGGTAGAGCCAAAATGTCCAATCGAGAAAGCTTCTTGCTCTCCTGAGCGCCTCGACTGTTTGCCGAGGGGTTGACATCGGAGTTTTGAGACATCCGATCGGTTTCGGTACCTTCATTGTCGGAGGCTTCACCCAAACGGGCACGGCGAAGCATCGAAGCCCTTGTCGGTCTCGGAGCGGAGAGGCTATTGGAGCGAGCTAGAGCATTGTGTACTATGGATTTGCTCGTACCTTCCTTCTGAAGAGGAATAGTGTACTTTTTGTAAGGTAGTGAACTTGATTCTTGGTCGGAGACGGCGTCTGGCCAGTGCCGTGTGGTGGGACTTTGAAGATCAGCCCCAAAGTCGAGAGAACTAAGGTTACGACGGAGCAGAAAACGCTTGCCTGGATCTGCCTTGCCATCGCTGTCCTTTATCCCGGATTGGCTCTTCTCAGTCGATGGATCATCAGAGGTCTTAGGTTCTCTGGAACCTCTTAAGAGTCCTCTGAGGACCACTGGCTTCCTAGGCACCGAAACGGAAGCGTTTTTCCCGCTGATTGTACTAGAAGTGTCCGATTCTCCCGAGAAGGAGTCCCCCAGGTGGGAGCGACCGTTATTGTCTTGCTGCTGCTCCAGGAGCTTGGCTTCCAGAGATGCTAGAACGTCCTCAGTGTCTTTGAGGTAGGATTGAGTGTCTTGATTGCTTACACCTTTAAAAGCATCTTTGCTAGAGGGTTGACTAGATATCTGGGGCAATCTGGACAAGTGGATGTTGTCGCTGGCCCTTTCTTTGGTATAACTTTCCTGTCTAACAATGGACACTGAATTGTCTCCACCAAGAGAGTCATCCGATTGATCAATGTGGGGTGGTGAACAGTTGCTCTTGCTAAGCTTGCCATGTTGTTGTGTTAACGTTGCGGTGGAGAGCTTGGTAGGTGAATCCTGGTCTTTTGCCTCTTCTTGACTGGTCTTCGTAGACCGGTTCCATGTCTTCTGGGTTGTATCAGGAGTCTTCCTGCATTGCTCAACCACAGAGCCATCATCGGACTTGCTGGCATCACTCAGGCTGTCCGGATCCAGATCATCTTGGACGCTCAGTTTCTGTGGATCCCACTTTTGCTTCTGAACTTGCGAACTCTTCTCCACACCGGACAGATAAGAGTCTGGTTGGATGTGTATCGTAGGCGGTGGCGTCTCAATCTTTTCCTTCAAAGGAACCCGAGGCAGAACTCGTCTTGATCTGCTGCTCTGGCCTGTTTCTGAGTAGTCAGACCTTCGGTGTGAGTCTGAATAGGTGTCAGCCAAACTGGCCCAACGAGAAACCCACCTAGTGCCTCCGGGCGTTAATGTTGTCATCGACTGCATCTGTAGAAAAGAGGAAACTGACTAATTAAATGCAAACGCTTACTACATCATAGCACTTTAAAATGGTAACCCAGTCATGTCGAGATATTTTCACTTTATCTGTAAAGTAAGTTTATCTTTTAAGTCAAATTTGCCTTGAATAATCCTTCTAGTGCTCAGAACTGCTAATGTGAAAATATTAGTGAAAATATCAATTGAAATCCTTTTAAAAACACCCAATCTAATAATTAAAAAAAAATATATTTTTAATTATTTTAAAATTTCTTTTATTTAAAAAAATCATTACATTTTTTCTTTTTTTCTTTATTTCTTACCTTTCACATTTTATTAAATTATTTTATGTAAAACAAGGTGTATGAAATATGCTATATAAATAAACTTGCCTTGCGTATCATATATTTTTAAGTAAACTTCACTTAAAGTAAACAAAATACAGAAATGTTAAAAATAAACATTGTAAATATCTGAATTAATATTGTTCATATATTTATTAATACTCTCATAATGTTCAATCTGTTAAAAATAATTTGCAATTAGTGTTATCTACAGCTATGTGAAATAATTAGAACAAAGTGAAATTTCATATTTAATTAAATTTTTTTATTATATTTAAATTATTTCTATTCCTCATTTTTAATAAATCTTTTTAGTAAACTTGTTAGGCTTGATTGTATGCTCTCTGTCTGTTAAATAAAAGCATATGAATGTGAAAGACCAAAAAAATTTAAAATAACAATAACAACAACAACAATAATAATAATAATAATTATTATTATTATTATTAATGTTATATAACATTTTTATTGGTCCTTGACATTATTTACTGTCTGAATGTTCCAGAAACCTTATTAAACATTAAATATATTATCAAATATTGATTACATAGATGCTCAAGTTGTAAATGCAAAGAAAATATCATTATATACCAAATGAAAATATCTCAACCATAAAAAGAGATCAGGCTCTTCAATGATTCAAATCACCCATCCATAATCATCCAAAAGCAGGAAAGAGCCAAAAGAAACAGCTTTGAGAATTTCCCAAACAAAGATCCAAATCACACTGAAAAATACTTAGATTGTGGTGATTGAGTAAATGACAGATAGATCTACTGATGCCCATGATCCAAAGTGAGTTTACCTGTACAGGACCCTTGGTTGTGTCACTAAGGTCTGTTGAGTATAGACCCAATTTTGGGCCTGAGCTATTCTCACTGAGTAGAAGACTATCGTGACCCTCAGTGTCACCAACTATAGGCATAACTGTTGCTGCTGCTGAGGTTTGGCTGTTGTCGCCAACACCAAACACCTGTTAATGATAAAGCATGCATGAATATGTTTGTTCCCAACTGACTGGAACTCCTTGACTCTTGAATGGATGAATTATTCAAAACTAGTGGTCAACGGATATGGATTTTTTGAAAGGCGATGCCGATATTTAGCCAATATTTATATTATATTTATAAGTGGTTGATGGCTGATATAAAGCCGATTTATATATCACAACATTTAATTCAAAGATAGTAAAAAAACACATGCACAACAATTGCTGAAATTAAATCTATATTTATTTTACATAATAATTTTCTAAATTATATCATTTGAAAATGAATAAATATAAAAAAAAAATGTATCTGTAAAATCATTAATATTTAATTACATGGCAGAATAACTCTCCTGTCAGCATTCAATTAAGGTCTAAATAAAAGTCCTCTGCCTGTCAAAATATAAATCCCGCTTCCGACATATCAGCCAAACAGAAAAAAAAATGTAATGGCCGATGCCGATATATAAAAAAAAAAAGCCAAAAATCAGCCGATATATTGGTCGACCACTATTCAAAACACTTAAAATGGGATAAAACACTAGCGTTAGGGTTTACAGTGCATCTCAGCCAAACAGAAAAAATGTAATGGCTGATGCCGATATTAAAAAAAAATTTCAAATATCGGCTGAAATATTGATTAACCACTATTCAAAACACACTTGAAATGTGATAAAATACTAGTGTAAGGGTTTACAGTGCATATCAGCCAAACAGAAAAAAAAGAATGGCCAATGGATGCCAAAATTAAAAAATGCCAAATATCGGCCGATATATCAGTCGACCAATATTCAAAACACACTTGAAATGTAATAAAACACTAGCGTTAGGGTTTAAAGTGATATCAGCCACACAGAAAAAAATAATCAATGGCCGATGGCAATAATTAAAAAATGCCAAACATCAGCCGATATATAGGTCGAACACTATTCAAAACACTTCAAATGTGTTAAAAAAAACTAGTGTAAGGGTTTACAGTGCATATTAGCCAAACAGAGAAAAATTAATGGCTGATGCCGATATTTAAAAAATGCTAAATATTGGCCGGAATATTGATAAACCACTATTCAAAACGTACTTGCAATGTGATAAAATACTAGTGTTAGGGTTTACAGTGCATATCAGTTAAACAGAAAATAAAGAACGGCCAATGGATGCCAATATAAAAAATTAAAAAAAAGCCAAATATCGGCCGATATATCGGTCGACCACTATTCAAAACACGCGTTAGGGTTTACAGTGCCAATCAGCCAAATAACAGCCGATATATCGGTCAACCACTATTCAAAGTGAACTTTAATCGTGATTAAAAACAAGGGGGGGCGACTGAAATAATCTGAACAGAACTGAAACAATGCTTTCTAATAACACAATGTGTTCGTGGTCTCTTTAGCTACTTGAATCGGATGTCAAGTACCTGATCAATCAAGCTCCGTGCCTCCACAACCTCTTTGTCTGGACTTTCATCTTCAATGGTGTAGGTACCTGTATCACTTAAACTGTCATCCTCGTCCTGCTGCTTGGGAACCAACGTTTTGGCCTCTGTACAGTTGTCTTTCTTGGGTGCAGAGGGAGATCTGATTGTCTGATTCACTGTATGAGACGTAGTAGGAAAACTCTGTGTCACAGAGGATCCAGCATTAGAAGATGGGGTCTTCACCCAAGTCGAGTTCGCGTCCCATGTGGGAGCAGGACTGGGTTTCGACACCCTAAGCAACTCCGCAGCAAAGTCCTGCGATAATTTGGACCTCCGGCCGACGCTGCCGAAAGTTTTAGACGCAGAGCGGGAGCTGAAGTCAGACGTGCTCATACGGATTTCGGTCTTCTCCCGTCTGAGGGATCCGGCCCGCTGAGGACCATCTGAACCTTTGAGGGGAATCGTGAACTGCTGTGTGGGTGGATTATTTCCGGATGATGTTAACCGTTCTCCACCTTTCCGTTTGTCTAATTTGCTTTTTAGAGCAGACTGGAAGTCGGGAGAAGACATGTTATTGGTGAACGACTGCGAGCGCTTTTTCTGTTGAGTATCGTCTAAGATCTCGATCACAAAAGCTTGCTTGGGATCCGGTTTGCCTTGGCTCTTTGAATCTGGTGTGTAGTTATTTGGGTAATCTTCTCCATCCGGATGCTGACTGATCTTTTGTGATACAGAGTGGGACATTGACTGAACCATTTGCGTTTCTTCCGGTTCTTCAAAATCAGGGTCTTCAAGATGGTGTGCATCTAGAAATAACAGGTCAGTTACAGGTCAACATTTAACCTCCAGATATATCTGAAAACTGTTTTCATCTAGAAACACAAGCTCACAGAGTTTAAACCATGAGACCAGAAATAATAATTATTATATCAGCAAAACATCCCACCAGGGTTATTATTGTTAACTAAATTTAAAAAAATTACTTTTAAAACATTTTAAACATTTAAAATGAGTAAGAATGTAAAAATGAAGTAAAAATGAATTTAAAAATATTAATAAAAACTAGGCTATAATAGTATATTACACTTAAAATGTTATGTTTATGTTCTAATATACAGCTGTCATGTTGTGCTGCAAATTTTATGTCAAATTTTCAGAAATACACTATACAGATTTGACAAAATTAAGTAACATTTATCTTCAACAACACTATGGAAGTGAATATCAGGAACAACAAAGCCAGTACAACAACACGTACACTACATTAACTGAAATAAAAAAACCTTCAATTTTATTTTAGCTAGTTGCCAATGCAACATTTCTCATTTTCGTTTAGTTTAATCTGAAGTTCTAAAATTGAACTAAAAATGAAAAACTATATAAATAAAAAAAAAATTAAAATTAAAACCAAAAAATTTAAAATAAAAAAAATCACTAAAAATGTAACGAAAATGAAAATGAAAAATATAAAATAAAAAAGTTCATTATTTTTTATTTTTCCCCCCAAATTTTTTTTTGTCATTTTTATTAAAAGAAAAACAACAAAATTACTAAAGCTTTAAAATGAAAACAGAATTTTAAATTATAAATTCTTAAATGTAAAAATTAAGTATATTAATAAAACTAAAATGAAAATGGAAAATAGAAAATAGAAAAAAAAATTAAGTGGTGTTATTGAACCAATAACAGTGTTATTTCTAAAGCTTTAGTAATTTTGTGGTGTTTTTCTGGGCGGGG